CCGGGATTTAAAAATAGTTACGCAAAACAGAGCGTGCCCGCTCTGACCGGTTTTAAAGGGTTAAAGCTAAAATATCTTTATGTTACACCTGTGCACACAGAGTTTTTTGGAGATTTTAGTTGGAGTTGCAGCAGCTCTCTGTGGCTCCTGGAGGAGACGTAGAAGGGGGACTCACGCTGGTGAAACTACGTCGGTGAGGATTCAGCACGGCACTCCCCTCCATTCACCTCGCAAATCTCCGCTCTCTTCCAAACAAAGTCGACGAATTACTGCTCTTAGACCGGACTAACAAGGACTTTGCACACTCTGCTGCCCTCTGCTTCACTGAAACCTGGCTCAGTGAGCGAGTCCCACACGCTGTCTTAAATCTGCCGGGCTTCACCGGGCGGACTGCGAAATGGAGCTGTCAGGGAAAACAAAGGGTGGTGGAGTCTGCTTCTACATTAAGGAAGGTTGGTGTACTGATGTCACAGTGTTACAGAAACACTGCAGCCCACACTTGGAAAGTGTTTTCATCAACTGTAAACCTTTTTATTCACCGCGGGAGTTTTCTTCCTTCATGCTGGTCGGAGTTTACATCCCTCCTCAGGCCAACGCGAACAACGCACTGTGCGAGCTGGCTGACCAGATCACCCTGGAGAGGAAATTCCTGGATTCCTTTACAATTGTGCTTGGGGATTTTAACAGAGCAAACCTAAACTACGAACTCCCTAAATACAGACAGCATATAGACTGCCCCACCAGGGACAACATCATACTGGATCACTGCTACACCACTCTAAAAGATGCCTATCGCTCTGTGCCCCGGGCAGCTTTGGGACATTCTGATCACTGCCTGGTCCATCTTATTCCAGTTTATAGGCAACAACTCAAACGTGCGAAACCTGTAGTTAAAACTGTGAAGAAGTGGACTAACGCAGCAAAGCAGGAACTGCAGGACTGTTTCGACTGCACTGATTGAACAGTTTTTGAAGCTGCATCTGAGAACCTGGATGAGCTGACGGACACTGTGACATCATACACCAGTCTTTGTGAAGATGTGTGTGTGTGCCAACAAAGACCTTTTGCACATACAACAACAATAAACCATGGTTCACTCCTAAACTCCAACATCTTCGTAAGGCCGAGGAGGACGCCTACAGAAGTGGTGACAGGTTCCTGTACAAGCAAGCCAGGAACACACTGACCAAGGAGATCAAA